TCTCTCTGTCAAATAAATAAATAAAATCTTTTAAAAAAATAAAATAAAATAAAGAAGTCTAGCTATCTTTAAGAGATACCCCCAAAACACACATACACAGTAAGTCTGAAAGTAAAATGATGGAAAAAATACATAGGCAAATAGTATGATCAACAAAATATAAGCTGTTATAGCTAGATTAATATCACACAAAACAGATTTCAAGGGAAAAATAATTAGTAGATTTAAAGAAGGTTACAAAAGGTGCCTGACTGGCTCAGTTGGTAGAGCATGGAACTCTTGGTCTTGGGGTTGTAGGTTCAAGCCCATGCTGGGTGTAGACATTACTTAAAAATAAAATCTTTTAAAAATAATTTTTTAAAAATAAAGAAGGTTACAATATACTGATAAAAATTTCAATTCAACAGAAAAATGTAATAATACTAACTTTGAATGTATTCAACTGCTTTGACTATGTGAAACAAAAATTAACAGAGATATAAGGAGAAATAGACAAATCCACCACCACAGTGAGTTTTTAGTTCATCTCTCTCATAAATTCATAGATGAAGCAGACAAAAAATCAGTAAAGATGTAGAAAATTTGAACATCAAATGAACAAGCTTGTTCTAGTAGATATACAAAGAACACTGTACCTAGCAACTGGAAAATAAACATTCTTTGCAAGAACACATGAAAGAGTCACCACGTACAGATTGTTCACTGATCAAAAGCACCTAGCCAAGGGGACAAGTGGGGGTCAAAATTCATCCCATGCTCCACTTGCCAAACCACATGCTCGGGTGTGGTGTTACATCCATCTGGAAGAAAGAGCACATTTTCCTAATTCATACAAAAGCAATATGTCATCTAGTAGTGGTCCAACACATGAAACATTCATGAAAGTTAATCATATGCTAGGTTAAAAAAGAAGTCAACAAATTTCAAAGACTCAGTCTCAAACAGTTCACATTTTCTGACCACACTGCAATTAAAGTGGAAATCAGTAACAAGAAGATAAAGAAAACATCTATGTTTGGAAATTTTAAAACATACTTTGAAATCACATGTCAAAGAGAAAAAGTCATACTAAAAATTAGAAAATACTTAGAACAGAACAATAATGAAAATATTACATGTCAAAACTAATAGGGGCACATGGCTGTGTCAGTCGGTAGAGGAAGTGACTCTTAATCTTGGGGTTGTGAGCTCAAGCCCCACCTTAGGCATAGAGCCTACTTAAGAAAAAAGAAAACTAATTTAAAAATTATGGGTTGCAGCCCAAGTGGTATTTAGAAAGAAATTTATATTGTGAAACCTTTGTATGATTAAAGAAGTAAGGCTGGGGCTCCTGGGTGGCTCAGTCGGTTAAGCATCGGCCCTCGGCTCAGGTCATGAACCCAGAGTCCTGGGATCGAGCCCCGCATCAGGCTCTCCCTGCTCAGTGGGGAGCCTGCATCTCCCTCTCCCTCTCCCTCTGCCTGCGTTCCCCTTGCTCACACTCTCTCTCTCTGTCAAATAAATAAATAAAATATTAAAAAAAATAAAGAAGCAAGGCTGGAAATTAAAAACCTAAGCATCTGATTTAAGAAGCTACAAAAACAATAACAGAGTAAATGAGAAAGCAGAAATAAGAACATTTCAAAATAACAAATATTAATAAAAAAATGTCTAATACAAAAGATCAATAAAACCCAAACTGGTTGGTTGAAAAGTCTAATAAGACTGATAAACCTCTCTGGAAAGACTGATTACAAAAATGGGAGAAGGTATATATAAACAAATATTAGGAATTGTATCAGTTGGGTTCATGACAGGAAACAGATGACATACTCAAAATGGATAATTAAAGACAGTTTATTTTTTTTAAGATTTTATTTATTTTTTTTAGATTTTATTTATTTC